ATTGTACTTAATTTCTGGTGAATACCAACAGGCCAACAGACTTGACTTCGTCTACCTCTTCCTTCACTGGTAATAATATATATTTATTTTAGAAATTACCAAGTGGTACAAGTACGCCACCTGGCGCCCCCTGCCGGTTATAATGGTCGTGATTATAGTTTGGCGGGCGTGTATGAACGCCAGTAGACCACGTCGCGCCACCAGTGCGGCCGCTCTAGGGCACCAGGGTACGTCATCACGCTGCTCTGGATGTGTTTGTATGCCTGCAACAAATTGAATAGAAATATTTTTGGTCAGTGGATTGGGTATACTTAGAAGTCGTTGGAATTGTAGTATATGGATAGAGACACTATTGAGAAGAATAAAAAAAAAAAATAAATAAATATATGTTATTTATAAAGGAATTAGAACTCTGAAAAAGGACTCGAAAAGCTCACAAAAAATGTCATATGATCAATGTTGATCCCCCCCCCCCCCCCCCCCCAAAAGAAACCCTATCTGATGAACCTATAAAATTAAATCCATCCATATTAGCCGTCAATCTCCGATTGCCATTTAGTTCACGCACGTTTTGCGACACGTGTTTCGCCTCTAAACGAGACATCTTCGGGCAAATTATTAGATCACTGCTAGGAGCTTAGAATCAGCTTTTTGGGTACCGAACAGTAGTGGAATTAAACAAAATAAATCTACTCATATAACTATTGATTAAGTCATTGAGTCATCAAGATTATAGATAGTAAGATTCCTTACCTCGCCATCAGATTTCCCCAGAACGGACTTGAGGCACCAGTCAGGTGGCGCTAGTGTGTCCACGAGCGCGACCGCGTCCGGCGTCACTTGGGCACACAATCGTAGGATACCTTCGCGGAGGAGTAGACCCTGTGTCCCTGAGAAGTAGCCTCCCTGGAGACAATTAATTTTATATTAATTTTTTTTAGGCAAGAAGCTGACACTCCACCTGATGTCAAATAGTAACCATCGAGGGGAGGGATTGTTAATAATGCAGACTAAAGATCCCATTGCTAGCAATATACCCAAACAGGTCAACCCTACGTGGTCCCATATGGAAACCATCGTGCTGAATTCCAAGTGTATTCAACACGGTGGGCTAACTGACCTGTCTTTTCATTCTCACCTATCACTCACTGGTGCCCCGCCAGCGTATATCGTATTACGGTAATTCTTTAAGAAGGTATCCCTTTAGTTTCACCACCATTCACCCCTAAAATTGTCCCTAATTCAAACTGCTAAAGAACAATACTCTTCCTGCTTATTTCTGGCACCGTCCGGTGTTAAGTCCGCCATATGTACACAGAATTTTACTGTGCATTAAAGTTTAAATAAAAAATTTGGTTAACACTTACAATATACAGTGTCGCCAGTTGCTTCTCCAATATGAAAGCACCATACAGCGAAACCAGCCTCAGTAGAACATTCCTACACGCTGCGTCTGGGAAATTCTTCACGGTGCTGTAGAAATTATTTAGTACGTAGTTCTGAAATAAAGAAAGAAAGGAACCACCAAGTTTAAAGTACCAAGATAACAAACAAACTCACATTCCAACATTTATAATGTTTAATAAAGATAGTACCTCTCCATAAACAACGGATAAAGCGACAGCATTGTACGCCTGCGATTCATTCTTCGCCTGGAAGTTGTCTCTGCCAGCGCTCTTCAGTTTGGCCACTTTATCGTACGTCGACTTCAGGGTGTACGCAGTCAGCCATTTGTACATGTGAATGATATCTGATGAAAAATAATATTTTTAATATATTCATTGGTATATTTTATATACCACTGAGGTGGCAAACAAGCATACGGTCCACCTGATGGTGTTTTTTTTTTTGATGGGTGAAAATGGTATAGTAACCCCGCCTGCGCTAACGGGATACGCTGACAGAGCACCAGGGAAGGATGATAGATGAGAATGAAAACAGGCCAGTTAGCCCATTAGACGAATTCAACAGGAATTAACCATGATAGTTTCCAGGAGGAACCGCGAGGAGGTCGACATGGTTGGGTATATTGCTAGCAATGGGATTTTCAGTCTCACATACTAACAATCCCTTCCCCCCTGATGGTAAGTGGTTACCGTAGCCTATGAACGCATGCAATGCCAGAGGTATTACGCGCGAAACCTCTTTATCCCCCTTTTGAAGAACCCCATAATACTTTTATTTCAAACTTTTGTACATAACAATTTATAGTTAAGTTAATTTTAGTGAATTTACACACACGCAAACACGTATACAGGCACACATGCACGCACACAATATATTTACATAAATCAAACCATAATGTAATAATGGTGGGCCCTGATGATTTAGCGGTTTAATACATTGCCTCATCAGGAAAACAGGAAAAAATCGACGAACCCTGGTATTGTTAGTAATAAGGTCTAATAGCCCCGTTGCTAGCAACAGACCCTCCAGGTCGACCTCCACGCAGTTCCTCCTGGAAACCATCATGGTTAATTCTTGTCGAATTCATCACGGTGGGCCAACTGACCTGCATTCATTCTCACCTATCGTCTTCCACTGGTGTCTCATCAGTGTATACCGATAGCGCGGGCGGGGTTACCATTCCATTTTCACCCATAAAAAAATATACTTGTAATTCACAAAAATACTAACTGGTGGGTTCTATGATATCCTCAATGGTGTTCCAGGGGCACGTCTCCTGCAGCAGTTGGTCCACGTTGTCCAGGAAGCCGAGGGTGCCGAGCGGTGAGTCGTCGGCGGTGAGCTGGCGGCGGCGCGCCCACACGCCGAGCAGCCAGTTGCTGGCCTGCTGCACGAGCAGGCTGTTCTCGCCCTCGTACGTGCAGTTGGCGTCGTTATCGTTACGGATGTCACCTATGCCAGCCGCTGGATGGACCAAAACAAAATTACATCAATTTGTAGTTGTACAAAATCAAGTATTCCATTTAAGAGGATTCAGGACGAATTTTTTTTTTATACAACTTAGAATGGCAAACAAGCTGACGGCCCACCTGATGGAAAGTGGTAACCGTCGCCTATAGACATGAGCAGTACCACGGACATAACAGAGTATACTGTTTCGCCCATGATACCCCCCATGCGTTGCCATTCCTGAGGACTCAGGTGTTACTCCTCTGTACCCAGTAAATTCACGCCATATCCCTTCCCTTCAAACCGAAACATAGCCATGCAAACAACTGCTTTACGGTTGAAACACGAATGGGACAGAGGTATCCAAGCAATCGACTTTTGTACAAAGTCTCCCTCTTATAAAATATGGCAAAATATCTTAAAACATCTCCAAAGCCTAACTCCGGTTCCCACGGGAAAGAAAGGGGTGACACAGAATAGACCATTCGATCCTTTCCCGTGGGTGTCGTAAAAGTGGACGAAGGGAGGGCGAGAGATGGGCAGCAGCATCCCTCTTAAAATATCTCCTAAGCCTAAATGCGGTTGCCAACCCGCTTGCGAAACGTGGCAACTACTCAAAACCCCTCAAGGGGGAGGCTTATGTTCGACAGTGGAGAGTTAGAGGCTGATATGGTAGTGATAATGATGATGACGAAATATGGCAACATTCTAATTATCTTATATTACAATAGGATATTGCTGGGGGGAAAGGGATTGTTAGTAATGGAGACTGAGAATCCTACTGCTAGCAATATACCCAATCAGGTCGACCTCCTCGCGGTTCCCCCTGGCAACTATCATGGTTAATTCCTGATGAATTCATCATGATGGGCTAACTGGCCTGTTTTCATTCTCATCTATCACTCTTCACTGGTGCTCCGCCAGCGTATCCCGTTAGCGCAAGCGAGGTTACCATTCCATTTTCACCCATTAAAAAAAAAAAAAAAGGATATTGCTTGAAACAGAGCTGGCTGGAAGATACATCAGTTACTTGTCCTGACAAAAAAAAAATCTACGACTTACAGTAACAATATATATTGATGACAATTTTTACGTCAATATATATTAAGACTCTTTTTCGTTTGCATAATTAAAAAACTTTGTGACGTTTGAGTTTTAGTTTATCTGACATCTATGTTTCTGTCTTTACAAATCCTATATATTGTAAAATATTAAATACTGATTAAATGTTATTGTCGATTGCCGTTCATTAGTTTCCTTCTGTCTTTCAACTGCAAGATAAATGGAATCTTTCAGCAAGCAAGGTTAGTGGCTGAATGCAGTAGATATCCTTAGTCACTACAATGACTAATACGGAAGATCGTTTGCCGTGTAGTCCCAGCACAGAATGGACCATCCTTTCTTTTCCCATGGGTGTCGCGAGAGGCAACTAAGGGAACTTAAAGGACGAGGGGATGAGCAGCAGTGTCTCTCTTAAAACATCAAAAGCCGAACTGCAATTGTTAACCCATACCCCCTTATGGGGAATGCCTATGTACAGCAGTGGGCAGTTAATGGCTTATGGGAATGGAAAATCATAGAATTTCTACTAACAGTAGTCAATCTTCAAACACTGGCACTATGAATACTAATGACAATGGAATTAAACAAAATAATTCTAATTGACTCAGGTTTTAAGTCGTAAGTAAATTGTTACTAACAAAATGGACCAAATTGTAGTCTGAATAATAAAGTATATATATACCACCAGAGGGAGACTTTGTACAAAAGTCGATTGCTTGGGTACCTCTGTCCTATTCATGTTTCAACCGTAAAACAGTTGTGTTTGCATGGCTGTGTTTCGGTTTGAAGGGTGGGATATAGCGTGAATTTACAGGGTACAGAGGAATAATACCTGAGTCCTCAGGAATGGCAACGCATGGGGGGTATCATGGGCGAAACAGTATACTCTGTTATGTCCATGGTACTGCTCATGTCTATAGGCGACGGTTACCACTTTCCATCAGGTGGGCCGTCAGCTTGTTTGCCATTCTAAGTTGTATATATATATAAAATACCTTTCAGGTAGCCGTGTCCGCCGCACGCCTCCCTACAATGCTGTATGCCGTCGCGCGCCGTCCAGCCCAGCGCCGGCTTCGCGGCCGACGACAGCGCGTGCATCTCCACGCCGCGCTGTGCAGCCAGCTCGTCGTTGCCTGCGAGTGCATCAGGAAACAACTTGAACTTGAAACTTGACAACTTTACATCACGTGACTACACTAACTAACCTGTAGTTTTTTTTTACAATGGAATGGTAACCCCGCCTGCAGGAACTGTACACGCAGTGAGAGAGGAAAATTAAAATTTCCTGAAATTTTCAGGGGTAGCCACATGGAAGTCGAGCTAATAGAATATGTTATTAACAATGAGACTAGTAGTCCATAATTCCTTCCCCCCCCCCCCCCTCCCACTATACGTAATATTATTTTGCCAGACCAAACGCGTACCGTGAGCTGCACTAGTGTAAATTGGCCCTATAACGGACCTTAGATTAAAAATATATAGACTGGTAATATAAAAGAGAAAGAACATATAAATATATATATTCTTGAGCACAATATAAGCTCGAAAAGGATTTGACAGCAATATGAACTATATAAACGATTGTAATATTCAATAAATTAGATTTGCATGCCTACAATTTTAAGGCAATTAAACAGATGTCAAAAAGTTTTGTCACGTGGCTCTTATAATGTCAAATGTCTGTTTAAAGCAAATAAATATTTCATTTCATTTCATTTTAATAAATTACGTATTTATTACTGAAAGTATAATAAATTAAATTCATATAACTTTTTTATTTATGAACCGATTGAAGTAAAACACTAAATGTTAAGTGGATTAAAGCGAAACGTTTTAGTGGAAACCGCGTTCAAATCGGTTAAGCCGTTTAAGATTAGCGTGCACAAACGTACAGACAAACAGATACAAATTCTAAAAATCATTGTTTTGAGTTCTATTGCGTTCATAAAACCCCCTTACAATAGTTTTTCTTATATATCTCCCATGTACAGACAGCGACCAGTTACGATTATATTATATACTAGCTGTTGCCAGCGACTTCGTCCGCGTTTCCGTGGTTTTTCGTAAAATAAATAGCCTAAGTCTTTCCTCACGGTTCAGTGGTTTAGATGTAACGGACACATTTCCCTTCACTGCTCTGCTCCTATTGATCGTAGCGTGATGAAAGTATACTATAACCTGCCCAGGAGTATGAAGAATAATTGTGCCAAGTATCGTTAAAATCCATTGAGTAGTTTTTGTTTCTATAACGAACATACAGACAGACAGAGAAAAATTTTACTGATTGCATTTTTGGCACCAGTATCGATCACTAATCACCCCCTGATAGTTATTTTGGAAATATATTTCATGTACAGAATTGACCTCTCTACAGATTTATTATAAGTATAGAGGATATATTAATACATATATTGCGATAAGCAGAAACAATGGAATAGCCAATGTTGCAACTCGACCATCTCTTTCCCTCACACTATTTATTAATTTTTCGTAAAATACGTAAAGTACAAATTACAAGGACAATTTCGTTGCGAGACACTGCCTTCTGCCAATTCGTATAAGGTTTAAATTTGTATACGTACCACCCATAATGTTTGCTATAACCATATTCATATGGGTCTCCCCGAGCCAGCAGGAGAACACCTTCATTGCATACGTAGCAGCCAAGTACGGGAGCAGTCTTATTTGCTGGAATAAAAAAAAAATTAGTAAACTGTATTATTTGAGTCAATACTAGCGGTATTGTATACTCTACCTTACACTAGCGATAGGGGGGGAAAGGGATTGTTAGTAATGGAGACTGAGAATCTTATTGCTAGCAATATACCCAACCAGGTTGACCTCCTCGCGGTTCCCCCTGGAAACTATCATGGTTAATTCCTGATGAATTCATCATGATGGGCTAACTGGCCTGTTTTCATTCTCATCTATCACCCTTCACTGGTGCTCCGCCAGCGTATCCCGTTAGCGCAGGCGGGGTTGCCATTCCATTTTCACCCATAAAAAAGAAAAAACCACTAGCGGTAGGGAGGAAAGGATTGTTAGTAATACGTTGTTAACAATATACCCTAACAGGTCGACCTCCACGTGGTCCCCCCTGGAAACCATCGTGCTGAATTCCAAGTGTATTCATCACGATGGGCTAACTGACCTGTATTTGATTCTCACCATACTGACATGTATTCACATCTCTCTAAGGAGAGGAGATGACAAACTAACCCCCGGCAGAAACACAGTCGGACGGGGTTCAGGGCACCAGGGAGAGAAACCGGCGTACAATGCGGGCAGTATCTAAGAGCACCGCTTTCTGCTTACTTCCCAGGAGTGAGCTGCTTCGGAATCCCAACCGTCTGAGATGTTGTCCCAGACTGTTTGGGATAAGACCGTTCACCGATAGAACGATTGGAATAATTTCGGTGGACGTCACCCCCACATTTCGGTCACCTCGTGAGCCAGGTCGAGATATTTTCTCTTTTTCTCAGTTTCGGCTTTCACGAGGTTCTCGTCATGCGGTATGGCGACATATTATTATATTATTAAATTTTGCATACCAGTATTTTGGTGAAACATGCAGCTCGAGGGGGCAAAAGGGATTGTTAACAATGGAGTTTGACAGCCCCATTGCTAGCAATATACCCTATTAGGTCGACCTCCACGTGGTCCCCTTGGAAACCATCGTGAACAATTCTTATTGAATTCGTCACGATGGGCTAACTGACCTGCTTCATCCTCACCTATCATCCTTCACTGGTACCCCGCCGGTGTATCCCGTTAGCGCAGGCGGGATTACCATTCCATTATCACCCATCAAAAAACATGCAGCTCGAAGTATACACAACTAAATATCTAATATAACCATGTTTAATGCAAATAAAAAATTGTAGAAAATAACTTTGTGGCTTTTCCATGGTTTGTGACAGAAAAATTATTGAGAAACAATGGTCTATAGATTGAAATACACACTTGCTGTTGATATTCCAAGACTGGCAGCTCCTCAGTTGAGTTCTCCGGTCCGAACTGCTTCCTCACACCGGAGTATCTGATGGCAATCACGATCGCTTTCTGTAGGTATGTTGTTATAATGCTTGTTATGTGTACGCGACCACCTGGTGAACAATTTAATATTTATTTTATAGATCATCCTTTCCCAAAGTGCGCGATAACGCCCCTTGTAGGCGCTGCAGGCCTAAAGGGGGAGGTAAAAGACCGAGAAAAAAAATGGGGGCGTTGTTGTTGGTGATTGTTGATCTTGAAGTAATAGTGGTTTTTAAGTAGGTGAAAAAATGTTTTCTTTTTTATACAACTTAGAATGGCAAACAAGCTGACGGCCCACCTGATGGAAAGTGGTAACCGTCGCCTATAGACATGAGCAGTACCATGGACATAACAGAGTATACTGTTTCACCCATAATACCCCCCATGCGTTGCCATTCCTGAGGACTCAGGTATTATTCCTCTGTACCCAGTAAATTCACGCCATATCCCACCCTTCAAACCGAAACACAGCCATGCACACACAACTACTTCACGGTTGAAACACTAATGGGACAGAGGTACCCAAGCAATCGACTTTTGTACAAAGTCTCCCTCTGGTAATTTGTTGATCTTGAAGTAAGTGGTTTTTAAGTAGGTGAAAAAATGTATTTTATTTATTTATTTAAGGAACACCAACAGCATATTGCATTATAACATATAGGTATAACAAACATTAAATATAATACAATATTAATGCACACGCCTATTATAGGTATTCACAGCATTCACTTTAACATAGTTATACAGTGTAAGAAAATGAAGTAACAATTATATTATTATATATTTATACTTTATACAATATAAATATATTATGAATGAATGGATGGAATGGAATAAGCGCCCTGCCGCGGTTTGTCCAAGAGACAACAGCATGGGGTTCTTCAAAAGGGGGGTAAAGAGGTTCCTTCAGAGTCGGCAACGCGCGCGTAATACCACTGGTATTGCAGGCGTTCATAGGGCTAACTGACCGGCTTTCACCCTCACCTATTATCATTCACTGGTGCCCCGCCAGCGTATACCGATAGCACAGGCGGGGTTACCATTCCATTATCATCCATTAAAAAAAAATCAAATTCTATGCAACTTCATACAACGGAGGGGGCAAGTTGTATGAAAAATTATTTTGTATCTAATAATTAATAAGTTTGAATTTTTTTTATACAATTTATAAACTTTTATAAAAAAATGTTTGTATTTATATGTATAATCTAAAAAGTAATAGTAAGCAAATAGTGAGCTCCCTGCAGAGGTTTTCCCAAGAGACTACAGCATGGGGTTCTCCAAAAGGGGGGTAAAGAGGTTTCCTCAGGGTCGGCAACGCGCGCGTAATACCACTGGTATTGCAGGCGTTCATAGGCTACGGTAACCGCTTACCATCAGGTGGACTGTATGCTTGTTTGCCACCTCTATGGTATAAAAGAAAAAAAAAAGCATACCATACCAGATAATATGCCCATAGCGGCACCAAATCTCTTACTGGGATCCTTGAATGGCGTTCGATAATTGCCGTCATCGTCGACGCCACCCAGTTTATCCAAAGCGGCCTCCTTCGGTACGTGATAGTTGTCAAAGATTACAAATCTGAAATATAATTAAATAAAATGTTTGTATTTTATATACATATTTACCAGAGGGAGACTTTGTACAAAAGACGATTGCTTATGTACCTCTGTCCAATTCGTGTTTCAACCATAAACCAGTTGTGTTTCAGTTTGAAGGGTGGGATATGGTAGTGAATTTACTGGGTACAGAGGTTTAACACCTGAGTCCTCAGGAATGGCAACACATGGGGGGAATCATGGGCGAAACATTATACTCTGTTATGTCCATGGTGCTGCTCATGTCTATAGGTAACAGTTACCACTTTTCATCAGGTGGGCCGTTAGCTTGTTTGTCATTCTAAGTTGTTATGCGGGGGTCGCTAGTAGTTGCCACGCTTAGCAATCGTAGTTAGACTTTGGTGCTGTTTTAAGAGGGATGCTGCTGCCCATTGCTCGACCATATTAAATTCCCTAAGTCACCTCTTACGAAACCCACGGGAAAAATGGGCTGGCCTATTCTATGACTGGACCACACCTAGTTACTTACCCATTATCAACACCATTGAGTCCGATTTTCTCGCCAATGTCGCCAACAATAACCCCTGGGTATGGTTTCAGTGTTTTTGGATCTCTTATAGGCACGACGAAGGTGTGCAGCCCGTGATCTTTACCTTTTGATATCAGTTTGGCATATAAAATGGCATGGGTAGCACATTTACCTGAAATATTAATGAAAAAAAAAAAAAAACAATTTAAAACCGAGTTAAAAAAAAATAATTGCAGTAAAACCTTTTCTTTTTATTTGAAAACGAAACTACTTATCCGATTCTGATAAAATTTCTATGGAATGAATGTGTAAATATATCCTTTTAGATAAAAAATTCCATTGTTTCTGCCTACCCTAATGGGAGACAGGCGTGACAGATATGTATGTATGTATGTATGTATGTATAAAAAATAAAATTTTCCAAATTGGTTTACAACTGACAGAGTTATGAGGTAACATTTAAAAAGTACAACTGAATTGAAAATCTCCATTTTTAAATTTGGTTGATTAATAAATTTTTACTAATATTATAAATGTGAAAGTGGATTTGTTTGTTTTATTTATTAATTTATAGCGCCTTAACGGCTTAACCGATCCCTATGTTTGCTACACAAGTGCCATATGGGATGGAAGAGGATATAAGCTACTGTTTAATTTAAAGTACGCAATGACGTAGATAGGGCGGGGGGGGGGGGGGGATTTAGGCCCGTTGCTGTTAAAATGAAAGATCCCAAGAAAATTAAACAGTTCGTTTTTGCGAAGTCACTTAATTATGACTTCTGCCTTATCAAAAAGTTTTTTTTACCCTATTTTAAACATGGCTCTATCTAGCTAAGCTACGTACGTACGCCTTATACGGGTTTGACCGTCATTCGAATATTAATTAAGGGGGGGAAAGGGATTGTTAGTAATGAGGTCAAATAGCCCCATTGCTAGTAATATACGGTCTCAGGTCGACCTCCACGCGGTTCCTCCTGGAAACCATCTTGATTAATTCTTGTCGAATTCATCATGGTGGACCAACTGATTTCCATTCATTCTCGCCTATCATCTTCCACTGGTGCCCCGCCAACGTATACCGTTAGCGAAGGCGGGATTATTATGACATTTTCACTCATTAAAAGAAATAAAAAAAAATAGATTAATTAAGAAAGATATGTTCAAAGATATGTCTCGATTTCGTTCGGATATTACATATATCCGATCGAAATCGGGACGGGTCGTCAGTTCATTATTAAAATGTAAATACGTATAAATGCATTGCCATTGTAACAAATATTGAGTAGTCACTCATTTAGTATTCCGTGCATTTATTCTATTTAATTAACTATGTTGAAGTAAATTCTGTGAATACCTTTAATAGGCGTGCGCATTAATATTGTATTATATCTAATATTTGTTATATGTATATATATAACAATCTGACACGATCTTAAATATTGATATATGTAACGAATCCTATTACGTCAATCACTAAGTTGTAAACAATTTTGACATTTAAATATAGAATTAATTTAAATTTCAATAAAAAATTTGAATCTAGAATAAGATTTTGAATTTGTCGGTCGGCAAACTAGGCCAGACCTGTATCTATATTCATGAAGTATCTGAATTCATGAAGAGTTCCAATGGGAATGTTATACGGGAACTACACAATTAAAAGTGAACAACGCCGGGGGAAACGGCTAATAAACAAATAAATATTTATAAAAAAAAACCTATGTGCCATGCACGTGACACACCTAGTATTGCAGGCGTCCATAGACTGCAGTAACCGTTTACCATCAGACGAGCTGTATGCTTGTTTGCCACCACTGTAGTATAAAAAAAATCCCAATTAAAATCGAGTTACAATTTTATAATATTAGTTTTATAATAATAAAAATATAAAGAAAAACATACCAAGACATCCGACCCAGAACTTGGCAGCTTCAAAATCGGGTGAATTTAGCACAAATTGTTTCTTATCCGGCAAGTATGTGGCAGTCGTTCTCATACCTTTGGCGTTTGAACCGTGGGACACCTCCGTCAATGCAAAACAACCCCCAATTTTCCCATCTTTAAGGTCATCCAAGATCTCGAAGTGGTGTGATCTGCCATTCCCTTGTATCGAGTTAAAAAACAACCGAAATGTCAATGATAATTTAACTGCTAAGGAACTGTCAAACATAAATATAGCCTCAGCTTCCGCTTGGAATCGTTTGGGATCTTCAAAAATCTGAAATTAAATGTAAAATTCTTTTATGCAACACAGAATGACGGACAAATGTAGCAACCCACCTAATAGAGGTGGTATACTAGCAATATACCCTGTCAGGTCGACCTCCAAGTGGTTCCCCCTGGAAACCATCGTGGTTAATTCTAGTTGAATTTGTCAAGATGGGTCAATGACTCACTTTCATTCACATCTGTCATTTCTCACTGGTGTCTCGCCAGCGTATACCGATAGCGTAAGCGGGGTTTTTTTATGGATGAAAATGGTATGGTAACCATGATGAATTCATCAGGAATTAACCATGATAGTTTCCAGGGAGAACCGCGAGGAGGTCGACCTGATTGGGTATATTGCTAGCAATAGGATTCTCAGTCTCCATTACTAACAATCCCTTTCCCCCCGCGCAGGCGGGGTTACCATACCATTAACACTCATAAGAAAAAATAGAGGTGGTAACTATAAATTATAAACATGAATAGTCTATACCGACTTTTAAAAAAAAAGGTTACTATACTCATCTTCATGAATAATAATAGTATATTTTATATATGTTTAAAGTAGGTAAATATTATATTTATGTAATATTATTATATGTAATATATTTATATTATTAATACACCAGAGAAAAACTTTGTACGGAAAGTCGTTTGCTTGGGCAACTCTGTTCCATTCGTGTTTCTGCCGTGAAGCAGTTGTGTTTGCATGGCTGTGTTTCGGTTTGAAGATGTGGTATATGGCAGTAAATTTACAGGGTACGGAGGATTAAAACCTGTGTTCTCAGGAATGGCAACGCATGGGGGGTATCATGGGCGAAACAGTATACTCAGTCAGAAAGTGGTAGACTTCCATCAGGTGGACCGTCAGCTTGTTTGGCCTTCTCTGTAGCATAAAAAAAAATGTTGTTCATACAACGTTTGTCCGGGGGAACGATTTTCCCAATGTTGTTTTGCTGAAACAGTGGCGTATGGCGGCGGTTCCTGCATGATGTGGGCTGGTATTTCCTTAGAGGGAAAAACTGAGCTTGTTTTCGTGCCTGGGGGCGGCCGAGGAGGCGGGCTAACAGCTGATCGGTACATCACCGACATCCTACTCGATCATGTTGTGCCCTACGCAAGGTTTGTCGGCGATGACTTCGTGTTAATACAAGATAATGCCCGCTGTCACACGGCACGAGTCACTCGGCAGTTTCTTGAAGAGGTCGAATTGCGCACGATGGACTGGCCTGCGCTCAGCCCGGATATGAATCCCATCGAGCACTGTTGGGATGAGCTTAAAAGAAGAGTTCGGGCAAGGAATCCAGTCCCTTCAAGCGTAGATGAACTAAAGGCAGAATTGTTAGAGGATTGGGACGGCATTCCTCAAGAAAATGTCAAAAAATTGATAAGATCAATGAAAAACAGACTGCAGGCTGTAATAAGGGCAATACAAAGTATTGATTTAATATATATTTTTTAATTTTTACCATTTTTTTGTTTATTTTCCAAAATATGGGACCTAGGCCCTTTTCCTAAATTCAGACATCATTTACTTAAGAAATAATTGATGAATTTCAATGATAATGACATCAAATTAAAGCTGACATCTTAAGCTTTCAAATGCCATATATAGTACAAATCTCCTTTATATTAGTATAGTACTTTCTATTACTCCTTCATTTGTACTAGTGTCAGTGAATATCAACACATGGTCATTTTTGTACACTCTTCCTCTTGTAAAGGGTTAATGGGTTGTTAAACATAATGCTGGCAAACTATATATGATTATAGCAAGTTTAAAAAATTAAAAGTAAATATTTTGAGGTAAAACTTACTTTTTCATATGGAGTAAAGTCTTCATTAAATATAGCATACATTCTTTTGACAGTTATATGTCTTTCTTCATCTAAAGTAAGCGATGCATCTGTATATTTGAATAATGGATGATTTTCCATAAATGTCCATATTTCATTCTGAAATTAATTAAAAATTGTATGATTCCAATTATAAAAGGAACAAAAATGGAATGGTAACAGGGTTTTGGTTTATGCTGCTACCAGTGAGGGATGATAAGTAAGTATAGGTCATATTGTCAATATAAGGCTGAAAAAAGAGGTCTTGCATTGGCTTATTTAAGATCCTTTTTTAAGGGGAAAGGGGAGACGCTGACCCCTTAAAAATGGCATATATGTATTTTAAGACATATCCTCGCCTAGCTCTAAGCTAGCTCACAGCTCTATTTTTTATTCTATGGTGGCACTAGATAATTCAAGTGTGGCCACAGTCTACCCGCTCTGTTAAATATGCCTATAAGAACTTAATATTTTTTTTAATCTGTTAAAAAATATAATAAATAAATTTTTGGTTGGACTCATCATAGCTTAATTAAAATAATATCCCAGTCATTACCCATACATTGCAGAAAATAGGTCTCCCCCATAGACTGCCATAAGGAACGATCCTGAGCCACCTGCATCCACTGACTCCATGCAATGCATTTGAAGTCATCCAATTATCATACATCATCCATTTTTATTTCTTATAACAATCTATATATATATAAAAATTAATGCCACTTTTCTTTGTAAATTTATAACTCAAGAACGTGCTCACCTATCCAAACCAAACGTTTAGGCTTTGTTCGGACTATTTAGTAGATGGTGTATGAGAAGTTTGCACAAAATCGCTTGAGCAGTTCTTCATTTATCACATTTTTTGTAACAAATGAATTCAATAAATGGCCGAAATTTTTTTTTTAATGGGGATTCTTTTGTCAAATTCAAACTTTTTTTTTAAGATAGGGATTGTGCTGTCGAATTGAAACTTTTTTTCAGTGTTGGCATTTTTTTTTGTTTGAATAAATGAATTTGATGTTAAAATAATTTTTTTTATTATTTCACTTTATGCATAGCGAAGCACATACCGGACCACTAGTATATAATATACTGTTCTAAGTAACAAAAAGGGTCATCAGAGTATTTGTCTCAATAAATATTGTAAAGAACATGTTTTGTGACATATTTTAATGGTTATTGAGGATAAGTATGCAAGAGAATAGGATGAGCTATGAATGTAGATTAAACAATATATAACATGTTAAGTTAAACAACTAAATAACTTCTTATTATAATTAAATAAATTATTAATTAGATATAAGACACCGTGTGTGTTGGAAAGCCGCATAAAGGTACCCGAAACTGATCGAAAACTTTAATTGATAGTATATTTAATAATTTTTGTCTATAGGCCCTAGTTAACGCTTTCTATCTGGTGAACCAACTTCTTTGATATTTTTATTTGATAAAAAAATTAATACTTATGTAAATGGGCCTCTTAAGGTGTAAAATAATCCCTTAAAAGTATTCACTGATCAATAATTCCATGTACTAAATAAATAATAGCTTTGACTTACTTTTAAAGAAATTGTGTTCAAATTTTCATAAATGAGTTTCATACGGCGCCAGTCAAATTTAACATTTTTTCTATATCTGTCCAAAGGTCCAGAAGGTAAATTCGGGAAATATTGGGCAAGTTGCTCGTCGGTAACCGGTAATGATTTACTTTGTTCCATTTTTTATTAAATTCAACAACAATAAGCGATTGATTAAATGGAAACTAAAATTTTAATTAACTTATTTAAATTAAATTGTACATAACTACAATTTCCACAGTTCACATGTAACGGCGAAGATAAGTTAATAAGTAAACTAAACTTTGGACACAAATTATAAATGCGTTAGATTGACTGTCAAGTAGGTAAAAGTTATTGATACCTATATATATATTATATATAGACATGATTAGTTAACGATTACCGACAATGGCAGTGTTGCTAGATGGAATTTTTTATTTTTACTCAAACGTCAAATATTTTTCTCCAAGTCGTTACGATTTTCAGGACTTTTCCCAATCACAAACGTATCGTTTGTCACTTCGTTTTGTCATGTACCGTAAATTGTAAGAAAAAAATCCATTTCTAGTTTTATTTTATCTTATTACCCTGTACGACTAATGTCGCCCTGTAAAAAAGGCGCATAATGTACACTCTATGTTAGAGAGCCATTGCTTAGCTTTTGCTCATATCTTAAGGTAAGCACCAGACTATGTTGGGGTGGGTACGCCGCCCCACCCCATCTCTTTTAAATACGCCGATGCCCATCCTCTGTTTTAATACCTTCAGTCATATATTTTAATATATTTACATTTAATCTATAAATTTTGTAAAATTTATAGATTAAATGTAAATATATTAAAATAATACTAAAACTAACTAAAAAAATTATTAAAATTTAGCCACTCCAAAAATTTCTTCAAATATTTAATTTCCCTAAGATTCACATAAAGAAATTTTTTACCCAAAATTACGATAAAAGTATCAAACTTGGCAATACTGAACAATGACATGAATATTGTTATTCGCATGAAAATGATAATAAACTTTTAGTAATGGGGGGGGGGGGGAGGAGAGACTAGCAGTCCCATTCCTAGCAATATACTGTCGAATCGACCTCCACGTGGTACCCCCTAGTAAACATTGTGCTGATTTCCGAATGTATTTATCACGATGGTCTAACTGACCTGCCTTTTTATTCTCACCTATCATCTCTCACTGGTTAGAGTATAACGGGCTACCGTTATACGCAGGCGAAGCAACCATTCCATTATCATCCATTAAAAAAACTATCAAGGGCAATAGGTAGAAAACTGTAGAGACCGCCGAAATTGAGTATAAATATTCATACTTCTGCTGATTTTCAAGCCAACTTTCCTAGATTCTTTTACCATCTATCCAATCTACTTTGGATTTGAAATCCGTCTTCCCCAGTAAGAACAATATTATCGGCCAACAGTATACACTAGTATATTTATTATTTGAAAATTACTCACCACACTTATAGTCTCCCAAAATGTGTAGTGAGCCATAGGTTTATTTTACAAACTTACAAATTTTGTATATTTTAAAAATATATCTATTTTGTCATTAAATATAACAATATCTGGCTGCTGAGCAATTAGAGAATTGAGCAGAGAAATAGCCTGATAAGTGGGAGTAAACTGAGCAGTACAGGTGCAACCGACCGTGCGGATGGTAATCGACAAGCACGCAATCGCATGCAGCGTTGGGGTGCGTACAAAGAACAACGGCTGAGAGTTGCAGGATTGTCTATTCCGCCGTTGAGCAACAGATAATAGTTCATCATCAAATTACACTTTCGCCTTACCTCGAATAGTATAGTATAGTATTATATTATTAGTGATCAGGACATCAGTAAGCGATGATAGGTGAGGATGAAGCAGGTCAGTTGGCCTGTCGTAATGAATTCATCAAAAATTAACCTCGATGGTTTCCAGGTAGAACCGCGGGGAGGTCGACATGATAGGGTATATTGCTAGATTGCTTACTAGCTACTCAATTGGTGAATTTGTCATAATGGACTAAGGGACTTGCTTCATCTTCACTTATCATCACTCACTGGTGCCCCGTCAGCGTATACCGATAGCGAAGGCGTGTAAACATTCCGTTACCATTCATTAAAAAAAAAAGTAAAGAATATGGAATTAGTGATGTGCCACGTTAAGCTGTCTCGAATATCTATTGAGCACTCAGGTACTCGAGTACACTATTAACGGAATTCTAATACACGGTGAACAAATATTGGTTTCAAGTAATTGTGAAAAGGTACGAAAATGCTATTAGTATCTATTTTTTTGTTTTAATAATTTTTTTCCTTACTGCAAAGGAACTATTTTTAAATAATAAAAATTTTGCTTATTACCATTATTAAATATGACTTTAGTTGAACCAAAATGTTAAAAATTGTCGAATGCCGTAAAAGGCCAACTCAGCCTAGATAAAATTATGAATGACTTGACTGCGATTAATATAGTACCAAGTCGTGTTCACTCGATTGAAGTATTGATTCGATAACACAGAGCTCATCTACACAAAGCTACTACGGAATGATTATTTAATTACATAGTACTTTTCTCACTGCACCAAAGTCTAATAATGAAAGTCTTACTGTTAAAAAAATATATATTACTAGTTGTTTCCCCGTGTGAATCAGTATATAAAATATTTTATGTGTTAAGTTAGGATAATAATCTATCCGTGAATCATTATTAATTCAAATCTAATCAGTCGTTGATAAAAAAGTATTGAAAGCATGAATGAGCAATAAACATCTAAATATTCAACATCTTTACAAATTAATACATTTATAATATTAGGATTAGAAAGATGTAAAGAAATCACCTGGACATATTAATTAATACTCGATAACATTATTAATAATCGATTCTGAATATTTAATCACCAATACAGAAGGTTATCGTTAGGCGGCAATACCGGCATCCACAACACTAGTCAAAAACGTCACTTTTTTCAAATGTTTTGTTTGTTTCAATATTTATTAAAATAATATGCTTTTTTTTCTTTATAAACTAAGTTTACAAATTTAGTTTAGGAATTTTCAAAATTAAAAGTATAGATAGAAGTGAATTATTCGATTTTGTTTTATTTTACTGTTTCAAATATGGACAAAAGTAAGTACCTAAATCCATTAATTACGATTTGTTTTTTTTTATTATCATTTTCACAAAATTCTTTCGAATATATTAATTCTTTTTTATTGTTAATATATTTAGTTTTCATTTAGCCAAATTTTAAATCAATATAGGTATAATTTGAGTGAAGTAATCAGTGTAATTATCAACTCTACCCACATTAACTAAATAACTATCTATTGAAATTTAAAAATAGAATATATATTTAAAAAGTAGAACTAAAATCTTAGACTTTGAGAAGAGAGCGTGATGTTTTTTTTTATGAATCATGTTAAGAAATGGACAATGGGTAAGTAAATAATAGATAATAATAATATCTACTGACCAATATTTTAGATAACCTATGTCAACATATACCGATAGAGCAGGCAGGGTTACCAATAACCTAGATATATGATGTGTTATTGTTAAAGAGGAAAAAATTGTTTGACACAAGTTCCTATATGTAATGTAATATAAATTACTATTGGACTATAGCGTTGTCTCTCATTTGAGCCATCGAGCATATGAGTCGTAGCTAATACGGCCAGTCCAGCTCTGCCCAGAAGCATAGAAGCTTCTTGGGATCTTCATAGCCCTCACAGAGTGACCTCACTGTTCCGAGCATATTTAAATGTTGAGGGGCACAGCTTCACATTCCAGGATTATGTGAACATCTGTTTCTTCGGCGTTAAAACAGTTTTAACATTCAGAAAGCTGTCACACAAGTCCTAATTGCAAGCTTTATGTTGCTATCAAGTTGATCATTACTTATCTTTAAATTATTTAAGATTTTTTTTTATAAACAAAGACGGGAGGGTATATCCAACTATGCTAATAATGTTCAGTAAAGAGGTAACAGAGAATGGCTCGCTTATACTTTGGAGACACCTCCAAAAGCAAGTAAAGCATGAACCATATCAGACACCTTTGTGTATAATAAAGAATGGCGGTAGGATCTTTTAACACCAGAGGGTGTCTATGTTAGCTTATTTGACCCACATTGGTGAATTCACTAAGAATTAGCAGTGGGTTCTAAGGGGGGGGGGGGGGAATACATATATTCAATAGTGGATAGTTAATGGCTGATGTGATGATATGATGATGATGAACAGATGATTATTGTGACAAACTACCCTCAAAAAGTGGCTTTTTAACAAATATTTCTACATTTTTCATTTTATTGATGTTAGATCATAGATTGTGTTTATCATTGTTATTATAGTCTTTATAAAGTAATAATTTCCAATTATTTAATAATTTAAAGACAATTTTTTTATTCTAAATTTATTTATTGTAAGATTAATTAGTAACTTAAAAAAAAATACTTTTTTTTTATACAACTTAGAATGGCAAACAAGTTGACGGCCCACCTGATGGAAAGTGGTAACCATCGCTTATAGACATGAGCAGTACCATGGACATAACAGAGTATACTGTTTCACCCATGATACCCCTCATGCGTTGCCATTCCTGAGGACTCGGGTGTTATTCCTCTGTACCCAGTAAATTCACACCATATCCCACCCTTCAAACCGAAACAGCCATGCAAACACAACTGCTTCACGGTTGAAACGCGAATGGGACAGAGGTACCCCAGCAATCGACTTTTGTACAGTCTCCCTCTGGTAATTTGCAAGCATAATATTAGCTGAATATGGAACTGTCTATGTATTAAATGAGAACTCTGTATCGCCTATTCAAAGCAAATCAAGTCTTCAATACCATAGGAATTTCTTTTTTGTAATGGATGGTAATGAAATGGTAACCCCACCTGCACTAATGGTATACACTGCTGAGTACAAGTGAGGGATGAAAAGGTAGGTCAGTTTGCCCAATGTGATGAATATTTATTTATTTATTTTACACTTTATTGCACCAAGTAAAAAGACAAATAACAAATACAGTAAATATTAATGAGAAGTGATACAAAAGGCGGCCTTATCGCTAAGCAATCTCTTCCAGACAACCTTTGGGTAGAGGACCTGGAATTCAGCATGATGGTTTCTAGGGGGGGACCACGTGGAGGTCAATTTGACAGGATATTGCTAGCAATGAGACTGGTAATTCGCATTACTAATAAACCCCCTCTCCCCGATACCATGGAAATTGACGCTAAGGCAATAACAAACCTGTTTTTGAAAGTAAAAGTTTTTAGCTTTTAATTTTCATCATCAGATTTCAGGCACTACATAGGTTTTGTCAGGACAAATCAAATGAGCTTAAACACGATGGATTTCTCACGCGTAGTTTACGAGTTCCTATGGCCATTTTCTGTCGTCATCTTCAGATCACCTTAATGGTACCGTGATGTATTGTCACGGTACTTACATAACTATGCCAAAATTTAGTACAAGCTGTTAAAAAATTGATCGTAAATTTGAAAAGGAATATGTAAAGGTTTACCTTTAACTTTCCACTGCTGAATATAAGCTTCTCCCTAGGGAGGTTTTGCCAGTAGTTGCTGCGTTTGGCAGGTGGATTGGCAACTGCTAACTGCGGTTTGGCTTTGGAGATATTTTAGGAGGGACGCTGCATTCTATCCCTCGCCCTCACGTAGTCGCCTCTTACGACACCTATGGGAAGGGAAGAGGTGGCCTATTCTATGCCGGGACCATAGGGGCACTGGTACTTATTATATATTAAATAATGTTAAATAAAAGTAATTTTAAATTGTAAAAATGGCACACATAGCTACACATTTAGTTGCGACATCTAATCACGTCCATGTCTATGGTCTTATTTTCTATAGGTACTCTGTAGTCCTATTTTCATTGGACATTATAAAAGGGACATTTAAAAAAGCCAATCGCGAGATGGAACCAATGCAATATGCACGTAAGCTATTAACTCGGTCCAAGTAATAGAACGCCCCCTCTCCCCCCCCCCCCCTCCAATCTCGCCCACCCTTTTATTAGCTTTGCAAAATGAAGCGCTCTTGTTCTTTTTTTAAAAGTGGCCATTATTCGAAATAAGATTGTTTATGTGTACCCGACGAAAAAGTTACGTTGTGTTCCCTTCAAAAATTAAAAGCTTGTTCCTGATTTACGACGCAATATGCAAAAATACAAGAAATTGTACAACGTTTTCCTTAGAATAACTTTTAGTAATTTTCCACGCTGTTTTCTTGGAATATCTGTCGGCTATGATTTTCAGGTACAAGGCTTTGTGTTTTTTTTTTTATTAAAATATCTTTTATTTTTTAATGCCATGGTATATAAGTTTATGAAGAATGTACTTCAGTTAATAATACTGAAGTTTTAATACTGAATAAACATCGAATTCCATTGTAATTTGTCATTATAATAGGAGTCGGGTATTTTTATACGTCCGTACCACAACTTTTGACCTTAAAACTTAAATCATTCTACTTTCGCGGCTTTGTTAAGTTAGTATTTAATATATATAAATATAGTAAGCTAAATTAATATATAACCTACTATGTACCAAATTTCATTCATATCCGTTCAGTAGTTTTTGTGTGAAAGAGTAATAAACATCTATCCATCCTTATCAATTTCCGCATTCATAATATTAATAGACTCCGACTGTCATGGGGGGAAAGGGATTGTTAGTAATGGAGACTAAGAATCCTATTGCTAGCAATATACCCAACCAGGTCGACCTCCTCGCGGTTCTCCTTGGGAACTATCATGGTTAATTCCTGATGAATTCATCATGATGGGCTAACTGGCCTGTTTTTATTCTCATCTATCACCCTTTACTGGTGCTTCGCCAGCGTATCCCGTTAGCGCAGGCGAGGTTACCATACCATTTTCACCCATAAAAAAAAAACTCCGACTGTCAAAAACTGGGGGAAGAGCTTATTAGTAATGCGGACTACCAGTCCTATTGCTAGCAACATATCTTGTCAGATCGACCTCAGCGTGATCCTTTCTGTAAACCATCATACTGAATTCCTAGTGTATTCATGACGATGGGCTGACCGACTTCCCCTTTCATTCTCACTTATCATCCCTCACTGGTTTGTCAGTGTATATCGTTAGCGCAGGCGGGGTTACCGTTCCCATTATCGTCAATTAAAAAAACGACTTCCAAAAATTAATTTTTCAACCAACTTCAAAAAGTAGACTTCAATTCGGTTCAATTTTGTTTGTTCGTTATCTCGTCAATCTAAACTGATTTGGAAAATTATTTTTTTTTTATCTGAAAAGATATATTTACAGATTGTTCTCGTGGAAGTTTTATTAAAATCGGTTCCATGCTTTAGTTAGATAGATAGATAGATAAATAATTTATTTGCCTTACTTACAGCACACAAACAATAAAAGTAAAAATGCAAAGTGAAAAATGATAAAAAAAGTACAAAAAAAAAAATACAAAAACAAAATCAGAATGCATAAAATTAGTAACGATTTTTTTTTCTTCATGCGTGTGCCACAGTAATACAAAATGGCCACAACTCAGTTTTTTGCTTTGTCCTAAAAAGAGCAAAACACTGATATTCTGTTGTGGCCAAAAGTGAGCCGCTAAATACTACTGAAAAAATAATAATAATAAAAAAAAAGTTATTAGTTCATAATGACTGGTTTTGTCACAACTGAAGTCTTTTTTTGGAACACGATCTTTAATTATCTTCAATTTAAAAAGTACCATTCCTGATTCGCCGTTACGTATACTGTCGTAAAGTATTTCACTTTTAAGACACGTACCAGACTTTTACTGTTTAAACGTGAGTCCTGAATTTCGGTGATTTCAAGAGAAATAAAAAAGGTCTAATATCTGTACTGGATTTTACGTATGAGACGTTAAAAAAATATATATAGATTTTTTTGGTTATGGAATGAGCTCCATGCCGAGGTTTTCCCAAGATATTACAGCATGGGGTTCTTCAAAAGGGGGGTAAAGAGGTTTCTTCAGGGTCGGCAACGCGCGTTAAACCCCTGATATTTCAGGCGTTAATAGGCCATCAATGTCCAAAAACATAGATATTGGAGCGGTACCAGTGTTACCTATGCCTAGTAAAGGTGGATAATACATAGCAATATCTATATATTGCAGTTACAATATCTATACATATATTGCCCCGATATGTGAATGTGAATGTGAAAAAGACTCCATTTTCCGCACTTAGCCTCTCATTTGGGCCATTGTGCGTATGAGTCGTGGCTAGTGCAGCCAACCTAGCTCCGTCCAGAAGAGCAGAAGCTTCCTGGGTTCTTCACAGGCCTCACGGAGCGACCTCACCGTTCCGAGGATTTCTAAACGTTGATGGGCCACAGCCTCACATTCTAGGATTACGTGAGCTGCCGTTTCTTCGGCGTTGAAACAGCCTCGACATAGAGGGCTGTCTGTGGCTCCTATTGTGTATAGATGTTTGTTTAATGGACAATGACCCGTTATTGTCCCTATCATTGTTTTGAGGTTTTTTCTGTCTAGATGTAATAAACGTTTTGATAGTCGTTGATTCAACATAGGTACGGCCAATATAGGTATTGCCCCGATAACAGATATATTAAATGTCGGTTATCCAATATATAATAACTAAAAGAAAAACTCTCGTAATGAATACAGGTATCCGACTGGTATTATCGATATCAAAATAGGTGATCATCACTGTCCAGAAATAGTGGTTCCCAACGGATTTCGGAATTCGGTTGTATTTTTTTTTTGTGTCTCATCGTCATATCAGCCGTCGTGTCTATCTATCCACTGTTAAACATAGATCTCCTGCATAGACTGCTAAAAGGAACGGTCCCAAACCTCGTCCGATTTGAGCAATTTGACCTCGTCACTCCATTTAGTGTGATTATGTTTATAATTTTAATTTATTAAAATACATATACTTTACATTTTTGGATGTTATGTATTAAAAAAAATGTTTGTAAGTACATTTGTTGCTTAATTACGATTAAATAGTTTAAATAGTATACTGTCCTACTCAACCCACTGAAACTGCGCAGAGATGTTGTATCTCTGTGCATTTTCTATCGAATTTATCATGGCGAGTGTTTTGAGGAGTTGTTCGGATTGATCCCTGTTGCTGATTTTCACCACCGTACAACCCGTCACAAACTAAAGTTTCATCCCAATCATCTGGACGAGTGGCGGTCTTCCATCGTGCGTTTTTCAAGGCACTTTCTTCCACGCACAACCATTCTTTGGAATCAACTTCCGGCAGCAGTATTTGCAAACCGATACGACAACATAACCTTCAAGAAAAGAGTATATTCCTTTTTAAAAGGCCGGCAGCACACCTGCAATGCCGCTGGTGTTGTGGGTGATCATGGGCGGCGGTAGTCACTTACCATCAGGTGAGCCACATGCTCGTTTGCCCCCTGTGTTGTAAAAAAAAATTTAGGTAATACATGTTGTTTTGTTATTAGTACAATGGTGTACAACAAATAGATAAGACTGAATTCACTAGATAATCCCTTGTATGATTATTTAACGCATGCGCCGTAAACGCTACGTCGTGGTAAACTTTTCCAACGGAAGTTTCGGCCGTCAGTGCTGAAGGAACGGACGGGGGTGGTGCGCGTCTGTCGACCGCAAGTTTTACGAAATGCGTGCGAGAGGTGCGAATTAGAAATTTATATGGGATATATGTATTTTTGTGTTTAAATATATAGTATTTAAAGCTTTATGTAAAACTAGTTGCACCTATCCCGTGGCTTTTCCCGTGATGTCTAGTAGCCTATAAAAGTTATAGAAATGAGCCGTCAAATGCAAAAAGACTAGTAGTTCTAGAGATTAACGCGTTCAGACAAACAAACTTCCACTTTTTTATTATTATTATTATTATTATTATATTAAATAATGTTTTGTTATTTCACATATAAACAAAGCTATTATTCATACTCGAAAATTAATCTTAAAGTTATTGTTTCACTCTTGCACCACCTACCCACTTCTATCTGTTCTCCTTTAACCAAGGTTGTCTGTAAGAGTATAATAACTTTCACGATTTTGCTCTATAGAATAGTTCTTTACATTATGATAAAATTAATTATACGACCAAATAAAAAAAAGGGTTTTACAACCACACTGGTGGATTGCAAATAGAAACCGAAATTGTTTAAAAATTGCCAAAGATATTGTACATATACATATTTATTTATTTATTTCGTATTGCTTTCTGTAATATGGTTAGTAAATATAAAAAAAAAAAAACTATGTACACTGTTGGGTATAGAAAGTAGGAGAGAAATATATATATATAATTTTTGAAAATTTTCTTCATTTGAAATCAAAACATGATATTCTTGCAATTGCCAATAAATATCCCATAATTATTGAAAAAATAAAAGACGGTGAAAAATGATACTTGTTAATTTTTTTTTATTTTGCCTTCATAAATTATACAAATGTATATATTAAAAAAAAAATCGAATTGTTTATAATTACTCCTCTCCATCCAAAGGTTGCCTGGAAGAGATCGTTTTTAGCGATAAGGTCGCCCATTGTTTTCTCATTATGATTATTTCTTGTAATTGTTTGTATTTATAATAAGTTTACTATTGTAATCTTTTGGAGGAAACAATAAAGTTATTTGTGTGTATTGTACTCGTAAGTTATGCAAATATATTCTATTTATTATTATAATGCATTCATGTACATAATATAGAATTGTTACAATGCTCTTATGTTTTTTTTTTTATTGGGTGATAATGGTATGGTAACCCCGTCTGCGCTATCGGTATACACTGGCGGGGCACCAGTGATAGATGACTGATGAGGATGAAAGTAGGTCAGTTAGCCCATCCTGATGAATTAAACTAGAATTAGTCACAATGGTTTCCAGGGGAAACCACGTGGAGGTCGACCTGACAGGGTATATTGCTAGTAATAGGGTTATTTGACCCCATTACTAACAATCCCTTTCCCCCCAATGCTCTTATGTAGAGTAAGTACATGAAACCCTGTTTGGGTGTAGCAAAATTATATTGATAGGTAGCTAATATACATGCATTAATGTCAATTTATGTATATTTATATATATGTATATTATTTGTATCTATGTATCTATACCAAACAATTCGTTAATTAATGTATTAAGATTTTTATTATGGGAGACAGACGTGACAGATATGTATGTATGTACCTATATACATACTTTTATTATGTATTGTCAAATTGGTTGTTGATCAGTGGGATTTTATAAGCCAAGTGCCCTTGAAACTGGTGTTCATACATGATAATGAATTCAGAATATTAACGATGCAAGATATATATAGCAAGATATACAGAGATATAAGGGTAGTCTTCGATATTCGATTCTCTGTCTACAATGAATCAGACCTGTCGTAAAGTTAAATATTTATATATGGAAAAATAATATTATTAAAACTAATATTGTAAAAAAAGATTTGTTTTTTTTTTGTAATCGTTAAATTCAAATTTTAAAAATTCTTTGACATATGTCTTATCGCTTTTTATTAAATATTATTTAATTTTATTAAAAAAAAAGCCAAGCGTAACTGACAGGTTGCAATATTTATTTATTTATTCTTTATTAACGACATTAAAAAAAATTGCAATAAGACGGACTTAATGCTCCCAATAAATCTTTGGAAAACAGAAATGTATATATTTACTCGTATGTATTTAAGATTTTTTTTTTTATATTTCGAAATTTCTTTTTTTTTTTTTTATTAATTAAGTCTTACAAAGAACAATATACATTATAATATTTTGTATGTTTGTTACAGTTGCAACGTTGGTGCTAACTCTCGCCTATTTACAATTTGCTCTTAGTTTCGGTAAGTGATCTCTTTTCTGCTTTAATTCCGCTACCATTAGTATGCATGCGATAGCCAACGCTCTGAGACTGACTAAGTACTATGAGTGACTAGAATTTGTTTTTATTGTTAGCTGTTGTAATGTCTGTGTACGTCACTTAATACTAATTATTATTTTTGCTTTCTATTATTATATTATATTTTTGGTATACAAAAGATCTACAACTTTCCATATGAGCCGATCCCGACCGCTATTATGTCCACTCACGTTTTGCAATGTGTTTCACATCTACACGAATTATTTATTTCTCATGTTATTTGTTAACAAGTTTAAGTGCGTTTTACATTTTGTTTAAATAATTTAATCGATTGATATAAATAAGAGTATAATTTGAGACTAATTAAAGAATATTATATCTTATGCCGTTTCGGTCCCGCCATAGAATGGGCCACCCCTTTCTTTCCCATGGGTGTCGTAAAAGGCGACTAAGGGAATTTATGGTCGAAGGATGGACAGCAGTGTTTCTGATATTAAATGAGCCAAATGTCGATTTAGTTGAAGATTAGGCTGTGTGGCTTAGCTCCTTTGCCTTTCCCACTGTGATTAAATTAATACTATCCATTTTGTTGAGTAAATAATAAATGTTGACACGTTTTTGACACTTTCTAATCTACTAATATAATATAAGCCCATAAAAAATCCTGAAGAAATAAGCTATCAAATGCAAAAAGTATTTTTCAAATTCGACTGGTAATTTTAGAGATTAACGCGTCCTGTTAAAACCTGACGTAATAGAAATGGCAACATCGAACGTTCTTTTTTGATGGATTTAAAACTTGTAGTTGACGTTTTACTTTTTTTATTCTTCTACCCGTTATTAAAAATCATACATCTTTAGTTTGAACGAATGAACTCGTTCTGTGAACATATTTAATTTCTTATTAATAAAAAGTTATTTCTAACTATTTCGAGTATCTTATTGCTCCTTGCTCCACACGTCTTAAAAGACACGTCTAAACAAACCTTTCCGCTATATTATATCAGTTGGTATAGATAGAACATCGTTGGGTGAATAAATTTCTCTGTAGATTTAAAAAAAAATACCAATAAGTGTAATTCATTTAAAAAAATCAAAGCCAGAGTAAACTGAAATAATTTTATACGATCGAAACGAATCAACAAATCGATCATCAAAGTGAATTATTGGAGCGGACTCGAATCGAGTCTGGTGGTCGTTGCGATGCGATCAATCGTGAAGCAAATCGCGCCATTTGAGTGATCATCTCGTTAAACACGAGTAGGCAGATACTGCCTCTCAGCGTAACAGGATTTTGTTATGAGGCAGGCATAGAGCGTAAATGAGAGAATTCCAGATAGGCGGCGTAAATCTTAGGCGTAAATCTAACTAATAGGGAGGAAAAGGGATTGTTAGTAATGGGGATTAGATAGATAGATACTCTTTATTGTTTCCTCCGAAAGATTACAATAATAAACTTATTATAAATATAAACAATTACAAGAAATAATCACAATGAGAAAATGGGCGACCTTATCACTAAAAACGATCTCTTCCAGGCAACCTTTGGATGGAGAGGAGTAATTATAAACAGTTTGATTGGAGGCACAATGAAAATTTATTATTTCTTAATAAGATTTGAAGATATGATACATGTAATAATGTAAAATATATATCCTTACTCATTATATACTATTATATACATATACACATACATATACATACATTTATACATACACATACACATACATACATACATACATGCATATAATCATCTACACAGATACAGATTAGTGACTCTATTACTAGCCAATATACCCTATCAGGTCAACCTCCTCGCGGTTCCCCCTGGAAACCATCGTGATTCATAGTGAATTTGTCACGATCGGTTAACTGACATGCTTATCATCCCTCACTGGTGCCCCGCCAGTGTATACCGTTAGCGCAGGCGGGGTAGCCATTCCATTATCGTCCATTAAACAAAATCAAACTAATATAATTGTCTTGTAACCAGACAATGACTGTACATGGGGGATATTTAAAAAAAGAGGTCTTTAAAATTTAAGGAATTTTATCTGTCTGCCTGTTCCGGTATTACGCCAAAACTACTACATCGTATTGGATATGCTTTTCAGTTGCTTTGCTGTTTGCTGACGTATGTTTTTGAAATGGTATTGCCTAGCAATGCTGTAATAAATATGCGTGTAGCTCCCGGCATAGAATAGACTACTTCTTTGTTAGTAACGTGGACTAGCGGTCCCATTGCTAGCAATATACCCTATCAGGTCAGCCTTCACGTGGTCCTCTCGAAAAACCAACGAGCTGAATTCCAGGTGTGTTTATTACAATGGGCTAACTTAGTGTTTTCCAACCTTCTTGTGCCATGCCCCAGAACATTTCTAAAATTTTTATGGCCCCCGTACATAATTTTTCCTGACAAACTTTACTTGACGACTCTAATCGCCCAGTTGATATTTTAGTAACATCAAACAAAATTATACCTAATAAATATTTACAGCATTTTTTTTAAAAGTTACTTTTTCTGTTAAATTTGGTACCGATATCTGCTCGTAGCATTGCATTTAAATTGCCCTGAGCAAGAGGGTTAAAATCGCTTCGACTCCATTTTTTCGTTGCCCACCACACTTTGCACCATCCCCACGTTGGGAAACACCGGGCTAACTGATCTACACTTTCATTCTCAACTATCATCCCTCACTGGTGTTTCGCCAGAGTATATCGTTAACGCGGTCACGGTTACCATAGATCCATTTCACCGATGGCATTTGGAATATACGATAATCGATCTAAATACGTACATTACGTAGTTATTTGGATTTCATTAATTATTATGTACGTGTAAAGGGGGTTACAAGAATTCTAATTAATTATTGACTCGTCACTAATTCTACATCGCCGTGTAGGTCCCGGCATAGAATAGGCCAACCCCTTCCTTGCCCGTAGGTGTCGTAAGAGGCGACTATGGGAGCTTAACGGTAGAGGGATATGCAGTAGCGTCTTTAGGTAGGTTTTGGAGATGTTCTAAGAGGAACGCTGCTCTCCTTTAATCGCACCTTACGACACCCACTAGTGATTGTTAATAATGCGGACTACCAGTCCCATTGCTAGCAATACACACCGTCAGGTCGACCTCCACGCGCTGCCCCCTGGAAACCATCGTGCTGAGTTCCAGGTGTATTTATCACGATGGGCTAACTGACCTGCTCTTTCATTTTCACTTATCATCTCTCATTGGTGCCCCGCCGGTGTATACCGATAGCGCAGGCGGGGTTGCCATTCCATTATCATCCATTAAAAAAAAAGACACTCACGACGAAGGAAGGGGTGGCCTATTCTATGGCGGGATCATATCCGTTTCAGACCTGAACGATACCGGCGTGAGTTGTAACTTTAAAAAATTCTAAAACCGGCGTGAGTTGTAACTTTAAAAAATTCTAAAACCGCGCGCAATTTATTTTTACGCACGAAGCTGAAATAACATGATAGTGAGATTCTAAACCAGCCAATAAGAAATCATTTTAGTGGCCAGGTGGTGCAGTAGTCTCGTGTGTGCCGGCGAGATGGCTTGGCTCCAAAACACGAAAATATATTTAATCTGAAAGAAAAAAAATCTTGGGTCTGAAAGATATATGGCAAGATAACGTAACACACATAATAATATTTTTATTTGTACGTTAGGTAATGTGTTTATGTGTTAATGTAATTATGTACGAGTATGCACAACCATTATCTTCATTGTTTATGGCCGTTTTCTAGATAACCCCATTCTGATAGTATATTTTGTATTAATATGTATTTCAACTATTGTATCTTATCTTTTATTTGCGTATGGGGGTCAGCTAAGTCGTTGCACGTCGATCTATGTGTTTCCCCGTGCTTTATGCCATCATTTCATAGATCCTAAATGTTACCTTAACGATATTCCGCGGTTTAAGATATCTGTAGTCCCCTGGTTTTGGATAAGCCGTTCCCAGTAGACTCATACGCATACTTGCCAATGAATCGCAGTTGCACATCAAGTGCTCCATGGATTCCGATTTCTTACCACAAAGTCTGCACAGTGTGTCCGAGATAAGACCCATCTTGTATAGTATATGCCTTACTGGTATATGTCCAGTTAAGGCACCTATTATGAGTCTTGCCTGTTTTCTGCCACCGCTGTAGATGAGTTTATCCGAACCCTCAGCGTTGTCGTTTAAGAACTTTTTAGAATGCCTAAGAAAACCCTTCAAAGTCCTCCATTCTTTTGCTGTTTTTCTCTTACATACTTCTTAAGGGCAGAGTTATTTAGTTAACAATGCCTGATGCAAGTGCACTGGCCCATGTATTTCAACTAAATTAATTGTGTAAAAAAATTATAACATACTTGGACAAAGGGAATTTTTAAAATTAGAATTTTGTCGTTAAAGTCCGTTTTTTTTTTTGCTAAGCATTAAGTTATGTGTAGAAAGTCCTCAGCCAAAGTAAGTTTTTAAGCTCTTCGATATATCGAGAATATATTATGACTAAGCGCGCGTCGACTTGCACAACTTAACTGAAACTTCACGACGTTTGTTTAAGTAGTGTTTTAGTTAAAAGTAAGTTGATGCGGAGTGCTGTAGGGGCTTATAGTCGAGCCAACTTATCGTTCCGCTTCTAGTGTTTATATAGGTCTTATGTTTATTTTCTTGATACAGTAATTAGTCGTACGACTATAATAATATGTACCACTGACTTAGCTGACCTCATATCAGTGATTCCCAACCTTTTTTGTGCCATGCCCTACTTGAACATTTTTTTTTTATACCACTGAGGTGGCAAACAAGCATACGGCCCACCTGATGGTAAGCGGTTACCGTAGCCTATGAACGCCTGCAATACCAGAGCTATTACGCGCGCGTTGCCGACCCTGAAGAAACCTCTTTACCCCCCTTTTGAAGAACCCCATGCTGCAGTCTCTTGGGAAAACCTCGGCAGGGAGCTCATTTCATAACCTGAGTGTTC